TTCTGTGTACCTTACCTTAATGGATATGGAGTATCTTTTGACCCACATTTTCTGTACCAACCTGGATATAATTATAGTCTCTAAGGCTCTGTTAAAGTTCCTTTTTGACTTTTTTCCCTCTTTCTACTTCACTTTGGATAATTTTTGTTGCCATTTCTTCACATTTACTGTTCTACATTTTCTTATTGAGATTTCCCATTATCTTCTAATTATGTTTCCATTTTCTTTTAAATCCTTGAACTTTATTTATGATAAATATTGAAAGTTCTTGTCTCCTAATTCCATCATTTCTGTCATTGCTGTGTCTCTTTATATTGATTGATTTTCTCCTGATTGTAGATCAGATTTCCCTGCTTCACATATTAGTATGTTTTCATTTTATGCTGGACATAGTGTATACTACATTTAAAAAAAGTTCTTATCTAGTTATTAGAGAAATTAAACTTTCTGCCTAGGAACTGCATTCTCAGAAGTATCATGTAATCACTTCTAGTCCTGGTGGTCATCACACCTGCCTTTATCTTGTTAACCTGTCTTGCCTTTGTTTAGTCAAAGAATTAGACCTTGGACTTTATATAGCCCTATTTATTTATTTATTTTTACATTAAAAAAGAATCCTTCTTAATTTCCTAGAATGTTTTTGGCCAATTTTATTTCTTATTCTTAATTCCTATTTTGTCACCTTATCCTCTTGTATATTCTTAATATTTTAAGTTTAGTATATTTTCTTAACTAGTTTTATTCATTCTTTTTCTTTTTATACTACTTTGAAAAGAGTACATGTATAAGAAGACAATTGCAAGGATAGATTATATATATATATTTTTTGCAGTTGGCATTAAAAGGTTCTTAAAAGAGTTCTTTTTTTTTTTTTCCCCCCCTTTTTGTCTTTTTTCATGACCGGCAACGGATCGCAACCCTCAGTGTCGCGCCCGTACCGGACCGGGACCGGCAACGGGATCGCAACCCTCGGTGTTGCTCCCGCACCTCGCTCAGCCAGTGAGCGGCCGGTCTGTATGTGGGATCCGAACCCTCGGCGGGAGCGCCGCTGCGCTCCCAAGCGGCGCACTGTAGCAGTGCACCACCGGGCCGGCCCTTAAAAGAGTTCTTTTAGAAGCCTTCTCCCAGTCCCAATCCATGATCTCCTGTCTCCCTAAAGAGCCATCTTCTTAAAAGTCTTCAGTTCTTATGCAGATAATCATCAAGTCTTCCCTATTGTTCACATAACTGAATTGTATCTTGCCCTCCTATTTTGTGAGGCATCCATCCTTTTATCAGACATAATCCAAAAGGTAGTTTGGGTCAGGGGATGAAAACCTTACATTAAGATGAAGACAGATGGATTAAGGGTCTGAATTTATTTACCAGGAAGATTGTACTTAAAAATTGATGAAATGGAAGAGGACTGTTCCAGGGGTGAGCTTCTGTGTTCTGAAAAGTTAGATTAACTTGTGTAGAAAATATTGCTTTACTATTTTTTAACACTAGTTTCTTAGATTAAAATCTATCTATGTAAATAGGTTTTGGGGGAAAGTCTTTTTAGCATGTACACATATTTAAATTAAAATTACCTGTTTTTGAAAAGGGATTGCAGCCAAAAACGTGTTATTCAGAAATGTGCTTGTTGGGAAAATAGTTTAGTCAGGCCCTCTCACCTTAGGTCCAGTTGTGTGTGGTGCAGCACATTCTTTGTAAACAAATTGTGTGTGGGGGTGGAGTTAGTGTGCATGCGCACCAATGTATCTTTTTAGTTTTGTTGCTAGTGTGTGTTCTCAGAGTTGCGTGGAACAGCAGCCCTGAACTGCTGGCCAGCAGAGAGCTCGCATCTAAAAATAGAGCATATTTACTTTGCAGGGAACTACTCAGTTTTTCTTTGGACTTTGCCAGTAGCAGTTGAGATTCTGAGTTTCTCTTTGGACTGCCTAGCTCTAAGACGTGTGAGCACACGTGTGTGTGTGCATGCCGCGTGTACGCACGTGTACTGAATAAAGACTACTCTTTCTTCACCTACAGCTCCAAGGACCTTTTTTCCGGTTACCTAGCTCGTAGACCTGCATGTGAAGGGTTTGTGACCCAGTCTGGACAATGGGCTTGAGGGGTCTGTGAGCTCCAGACCCAGCCCTAGCTCTACAGTGCTCCATTTGTACCCTAAAATTCCATAGCCAGAAAAGAACTCTATACTAGTCAGTCATGAAATAGGGTTGTCCCTATATGACCCTGTCTTAGTCCTTTCAGACTGCTGTAATAAAGTACCATAGACTGGGTAGCTTATAAACAACAGAAGTTTATTTCTCACAGTTCTAGAGGCTAGAAAGTCCAAGATAAAGGTACTGGCAGATTCGATATCTGGTGAAGTCCCTCTTTTCTGGTTCATAAAGGATACCTTCTAGCCGTGTCCTCACATGGCAGGAGGGGTGAATGAGCTACCTCAGGCCTCTTTTATATGGCCTCTTTTATAATTCCATTTATGAAGGTTCTCATAATCACTTCCTTCTTGACCTAATCAA